TCATAAGCCTGCCAGCCAGATCTAGGCCCACTGCTTGTGGATGTGTACCCACTCGTGGCTGACTATGTACACATCTCCACTCTCACACCGTTTCCATTCGCAAAACAGATCCAAGGTATACTCTGGCAGCCACAGGTGGTAGATCCATGTACCCCATCACCCCACGTCCTTTTTCTGTTTCGTTTTTTCTCCAATCTCGTGCCTGGTCCAATCAACAAATAAAACCAAGGTGGACACGAAGGAGGAAAGCATAATCTGGCCATCACAGGCGACGGACCGCCTCTCAAGACACAGCGCCATGACCGCACACCATTTCCTATTTCGCGTTTCCCTTGATCAGCGACTAAGTGTAAGAACCGCAAAAGCATATACCCACGTGATCTAATCTGGCAATCACAGGCGACGCACCGCCTCTCAAGACACAGCAGCGCCATGACTGCACACCATTTCCTGTTTCGTGTTTCCCGCGATCAGCGACTAAGTGTAAGAACGTCAAAAGCATATAGCCACGTGATCTCAGTGGCACATACATTGTGATTTCGATTTTGAACATTGCCACCAGAGGGAACATTGTAACCAACAGCAAATATACCATTTCATGCAGTGGATCAACATGGCCTGCGTATTGCACAACATCATCTGGTTTTCTCCTTTGCTTCTCATCCTGGCATGCAAGAGTTGTGTGAAATGAACGACCAATGCACAGAATAACATTGCCACCGGCATGCCTATCACCGCACCGCCGGAAATACCACCACCCACAGAAATACGAGTCATTCATTCGGCTCAGCACTCAGTTTCAACGACTGCCAGCGGGTCCTTACCAAGCTGCTCCCTAACATTCTTCAGAGAAACCTGCCACAGGGATTCAACCGACAACAAAAAATCATCGAAGACTGTTAGAGCACACACTAGGGTCCGCGAGAGTGCAAAGAGCACAAGGACACAGTTGAATGGGCAAAAGGAGATCAACAACAGGGAAGGAATGGAATCCAGAGATGGCTGCCCTATAAGACGTTCATTCAGAGAAGAGAGAGTGACATCATAACCATAAGAGATATTCATTCGGTGACATGATAACCAGCAAGCTTTATTATTGGCATGATAACAAGCAAGCCCGCTAGAATGTTAAATTCACTGCAGCGCTCTACAAATAGCCTCCAGCGCTCTTCTCACTACTTCCCAGTTGCAATGTGCAATGTGAAAACACCAACTGAAACATGTGCAGTGTGAAAACACCAACTGAAACACACAAAACTGATTCCTTGATCGCACTCTGCAAACAGTATTTCAAACAAACAAACAAACGAAAAACCATGACACCAAAGACTCTGGAGCGTTGTGGCCTTGGCGCCCTCCGCCTTGAGAGAAGAGAAAGCTTTTCTCTTTCTTTTTTTCCCTTTAATTAATTTCACGAGCTGACCTGGGCATCGTGTCAAAGGAGGAGAGGACCATCACGAGGACACGTACCATTACAGCCTGGAAAGCATGGCTTAAAATTCCATTATAACAATACAATGTTTCGGTTTGGAAGAGCATGCGGGGCAGCAAGCATACTATGAAATTATTTGAGGGCGAAGCGGTTCGTGACATTGCAGCATACCTTTTTCAAATCAGCTCCATTCAGGAGCTCTGTAATTTTCTCCTTTAGCTCGTCTTCAGTAGGTTGCCCCTTCACGACCTTGTCACCTGCAAGCAACATATCCGACGTCTTAGAATTCCATGCGAGTTGTTGTTCAATACTAATTCCGGTCACATAAATTAAAACTCACACATTCCTGAAGCCTGCGTGTAAAGGGTAACAACCAGTACTTGGCCCAGCTATCAACCGCGGAAAAAAAAATAGAGTAGAAGCGTTTCTAGTCGGATGAATTTGGCCGCTCCTGTAGTAGCCCGTACGTTTCCTAAAATCGTGGCGCATCAACGGGCACGACTCTAGGAAGTAGTGGTGGTTTAACATCATTTATAGGGCGGAAAAGGGGGGGGGGGGGGGGGATGGAAAGCAAGAGTCCATCATCGATGAAAGGCACAATCTCATATCCATTCCCTCACCTGGACTTGACACTCTCGGCGACGAGCTTTTCGATTTCTCGGCTGATGAGTCACCCCCCTTTCCCTTGCCTTTTGCCCCGCTTTTGCCAGCCTCCTCATTTGAACCGTCCTTCCATTTCACTGATTTCTTTTCTTTCGGCGTAGACTTCTTGGAAGGCGTTTTCTTTGCCGAGTCCTTCTTGGGTGTCCGTTTCTTTGGCGTTTGCTTTTTCACCTTCACAGGGGTCGCCTTCTTAGCACTCCCCTTCTTTCCCTCCTTCCTTCCTTTGGCAGACACTTTCTCGTCTTCATCACTTGCAGGTCCATCCTTGTCTACCTCATCACCGTCCTCCTCGTCACTCTCTACGTCTTCCGATTCGCCATCCGATTTCTCTTTCAACTTGATCGCCTTCTTTCCCTCTGTTTCGTCTTCCAATCCTGACTTGTCTTCTGCATCATCGTCGTCGTCGTCCTCTTCCTCCTCCTCCTCTCCTCCATCAGCAGGTGCATCCTTGCTTTTACCACTCGTCTTTGCTTTTCCCTCTTTCTTGGCCCTCTGCATACAAAAATGTCAATCCACAAAACCCAGCAAGTGATACACCACCATCAGATGCTCTGGTCACATACCCACATTTCCAGAAAGCAGCATAAAAACTCACCAGCTTGCAAGACATTTGCATCAGTTCACGATACAACGAACATAGATTTGATGGTCAGCACAATCAAGGTCCACTTTCGACTTTCTGCAGTCGCTTCAGCCAATCTTTCAACGCATAATAAGTTAATAACATAGTGTTATTGCTTAAAATAACAGAGACCGAAGAAAACCAACCCCATACAGCAGCAGGCGAGAACTGAACAGGCCAGGTATTACCTACCTTGGGTGTTCTTCCCTTCGAGCCTGTCGACTTGCGCTTCTTACCCTGCCACACATAAGCACAGCAAAGAAGCTGATTGTCAATTGTGCACAAAAGAACACCACACCACCCTCCGGAACCCGCGTCCTCCATATCAGACTCACTGTAGCAAAGGGGCATACAGTCGAAGCACAAGTCACAGAGCAAATCCCCAAAAAGCATGCCATCATAACCCAACAAGACCAACACATGACAGAACAAAAGTTCTCACGATTCAAAAGGGGCTCTCTGCCAATCAGAGCAAAGTACAATGCCGAGGTACTTAAGGCATCAGACCAGGCAAACTGTCCAGAAACACTGTCGGCAACGTGCTGTGACCAGCCAACAACCAAACAGAAAAAGATGGCAAAATATGACGCAAAAAAATAAGGCCAGGATGAGAATGGACGCTTTCCCCTTTTTTTAACTCCTCCAGACATTTTTGGTTCTCGCCCATTATTTATGGTGTGATAGAATCAGTTTCAATGAGAGCTGTATTTTAAACTTTTATTTGGCAAATTTGTCAAGACAAAATAGCTGACAGATCTAATATGGAGGCTTGAAGGATAAGAAAGGTAATTAATTAATAAAGCGTCCATTAGAGCTGTGTTCGTAATCCTGGGATTCGGCTCACCAGAGTCTGACTTCAGGGATAAGGACCATGCCCTATGGTAGGTTGCTTTGGCAATAAGATAGGCAGGCCGGATCCAACAGAACCAGTCTACAAGTCTCACCCATAGCATCCAGAACAACTCTCCTGGGGCAGACCAGCCAGATAGGTGCCGAACCTGAGTTTGCTCAAAATACACATCGAGGACACGGCATGACCGAAGCGCTGTGGTTGCATGGCCCTACACCGACCGCTCTGTTGAGGCGCTATGTGCAAGCCATCTGCTGCTACATTTCCACCCCCCCCCCCCCCCCCCCCCCCCCCCCCCCCCTCCATCATCCTAAATACTACACTGAATGACAACTCAGACATTGCAGACAGAAAATACAGCAAAGAAGATCATGTCCAATACTTGCCTTCAACACACATGCATCATTTAAACAATCTGTGGTGGCAAGAACCCTTTCCCGGCCCACTGAGAGTCTTGAAGATAATTTTCCGCCCTCCAATTTTGATACTCCCTCCCAGACCATCAAACATAAGGAGGGGGCTAAGGTCCGGAAGGCCATTTTATATATGATGAATGGAAACTCAGAACCACGGCCAGAACCATGGCAGCAATGCCAAGCAGACCCCTTGTCTTGCTATATAGGGATATCATAGAGATACAAAAACAGTGTGTGTGTGTGGAAGGAGGCCATCGTTATGTCAGACTTCACCCAGCTGCATGTTGACGCACGCTTCATGCAGCACGTCCACAGCCAAAGCCAAAGAAATGTGAATGGGACAATAATACCATTGCAGTTCACCCAAACTCACTGTCTCGTGTATCGCCCCATCTTTTCCCTTTGCCCCCAACTTAATCATGGTTACATCACACCTGAGATCTTGCAATGGAAAAGGTCATTAAAAAAAACGCAGGGTGAAAACTGGCACCACAACAAGATTAATGATGACTTGTAAGACCCCAAGGACGGTGGAGTGTACCTTCTTGTCTTTATCTTCTAGAATGCTGTCTGTTGTTTTATGTGGTGACTCCAGAAATTCCATTATGCGATGTACCTGCTCCTCCTGTTGAAGCCGGGTGCCAAGAGTTTTCAAAACAGAATAGATGAAGGAACCACAACAAGGACAACAGCATAGAACAAAGGACAGCCACAAAGTGCAGAGGATCACAACCGTCGACAAATTGTCAGCCGGAGTTGAGCAAGCTTCTCCAAAGAATGCAAGGCCATCTCCTCACATATTACTCCACATCAATGCTTGTTCAGAAAACACGACTACAAAGAATTCTCATTCCCCATGCAGCACTATCGAATCATCCCTAACTTCCCATCTCACCTCTGCATTGGGAACAGCATACAAGTACCGTAATCGGTCTCACACAAGTTTGAAAGCAACTACACCGAGTGCTTGGTTGGTGACAAGAAGCAGACTCTACGTCTTGAAGTAGCAATCATAGCTGCAAGTATTTGAACCTGAACTGCAGCAATCCACGAAAGGGAATAGTGTAACCTGAAAAGGCCATTCCAGCCTAAATGCTCTAGAACGAGGTTCAAATTACTCTGCGGTAACCTATCTTGGCATCCCTCTCCTTGTCTCTCTCAAGGTTGGAATTGTTCGCCGATCCCACATCTTTGCATATTCGCTTACAGCTTAAATGCTCCGGACCAATGTTCAAATTACTTGCCCATAACCTATTTTTGCAGTGCTCGGCTTGCCCTCAAGGTTGGAATTAGGGCCTCGTTCCACACCACTTCAGTTCACTTGAAACTCGAGAGTGCACTCAAGTTGCAAAAGTGATTAAAAAATACCTGAGTCACGTTTTGTTCCACCCAACCCTCGAGTCCACCCTTGAAACGAGCGGGCAAGAGGTTCAACCCGGACAATCACCTTAGAAAGAGGAGAATAAACGGGAAAAAAAAAAACTATCGGGGGGTTCTACACGTACCTGCAGCGCCATTTTCAAGTGCAGCTCAAGTGTACCCAGAGAGGTGACTTGAAAAATGGGTAGGTTTGCCTGAGCCGCACTTGAGCCGCCCTTGAGCTTTTCCCGCCCGTTCGCTAAACCCGAAAGCCTAATCACGTCCGGGCCATGATTAGCCAAACTAGAGGGCACCGTGGAAGGGTGTTGGGCAAGAAACCCTTGAGTTTCGAGTGGCGTGGAACGAGGCCCTTATTCACAAATTCCACGTCTTTGCGTATCCACGTTAACCTCCTGGACAGCACTTCATGTCTGGTAACTTGATTGTGGTGCCGGATTGCTCAACTTCATGCCCTGCAATCCAGGGTACATCGCTTTCCATCGCTTCAAGACCGTCCAGAAGTTATCGGCTGTTAGAGACTAAATTCAGAACTATAGTCTACCCACCCCGGCGCCTTTTACTGCCAAAGCACACTGCTCAGGCTCAGTTTGCTGGGTTATACAGGACGAGTAAGATAGCCTATTCATAGGTAGGGGGGCGGGGGGCGAGGGGCGAGGGGCAAAGTTAGTGTCATTCTTCACTCGCTGCACAGATTTCTCATAGAATTAGATTACGCCGCTTTCCATGTTCAATTCATCTTTTGTTTTGGAGCTCGGATACAGAACAATCACACAGCTCATGGCTCCATATCTTCCACTCAGCCAAATTTATATGTCCTTTTTCACTTGCTTTTATTTCCGTTTCCTCCTTTCAGAGCGCCTGTTTTGCACTTTCCTCCAATCTGAGCGACTTATGATCCCTCTGCCTAAGTGGTCCTGATTATCTCTACTTCCAACCTTCCGACGCACCCCTACGGTTAACGACTATACGCAAGACTCACAATAATAAAAAAGGGAGGTAATCTCTGTTTCCCCCTCCTTTCTGTTTGTCTTTTTGTCTCCTCGGCCGTGCTCCCATGCCAGCGACGGCTGCTGCACATTGAGCAAACAATATTATGCCTTCACTCATACTCGGCCTTGTCACACCAGTGCTTTGAGGCATGTATCTGGCCACTATGTGCGAGAGGTCATTGTTGTTGTTTTTTTGGTTTCCCTCGTTCCCTTCTGTTTTTCCCCCGTTCCCTTTTGGTGACCTGCCAGCGAGGCAGGGCGTATCCCACACCCCGCAAGTAACTGCCTCACTCACCTCATACTCACCCTACTACGGGAGTGTCCTGTATCGGACCGCAATAACAGCATAAGGAATTTTTATTTTTTTTTGCTCTTCATTTATTGTTCATCAGACAGACGCCCTCACTGAGGAGGGCACAGTCACACTAGCACCTTGTAGAATGTATCTGATGGCTATCACAGCGTTAAGGAAGTTTTCTTTTTTTTCTTCGTTTTTCTTTTTTTCTTCGTTTTTCTTTTTTTCTTCGTTTTTCTTTTTCTCTTTTTTTCTTGGGAGTACCAGAAAAGAAAATACAGTGCGACTCAGGCTCAGCAAAACTCGGTGCGCAGTGAAATTCAGATTCAACAAAAACAAGATCGGAGGTAGTGGTGAAACCCATACCGAATCTGAACACTAAGCGTCAGACACAGAGGGGATTAGCGACTGACAAGGACAGGCATAATATGGACAGATAGGTGAAGAACAACAATAACCTTTTTCCCGCCTTTCTGAAGATCCAACAGATCAAGAAGCTGATTTAGTCCTTCTTTCGTATATCTGTCCAGCTTGTCCTTGACTGGCATCTTGTCTTTATCCTGCAACAGCCAAAGCACACAAAACCAGTGCAGCCTGCATCGTTAACTTACTTGTCAGAAGATAAGATTGCAAAATCATATGTCGAAAGATACAATGACAAACGAATCCGGATGCTTGTTGAAGAAATGAAAAACACCCCCAAACGTGCAGAATGGCACACTTCTCCTTGCGGTTCAACCATTTGGGTATCCTCCAGCGTATACCATGAACCTCCCAGGAAGATCGTTTGCCTTTTGGCAGGGGCTACGACCATGCCCACACAAAATAATCACACGTCCGATTTAAGCAGCATAGAAAAGAGGCTGGTTAGGAAGACCCGTACAAAATATACATTCGCTCAGTATTCACAAAAGAGAGTAGAAAGAATATTGTATAGAAAAAAATAGTGTGTGTTGGAATGAACAACTAGCATTCTTCACCAATATCAAGCAGTTTTGAACAAGCTGACGGCAACACAATCAAAACATATCCTTCTAGAAGAAACCACATTCAATCCGACGAAAGAGAGGGAGAGCGAGCGGAACCAACACAAACGAGAAACCAGGCCCACTAGCCCAAACCAGGAAACCCTGATCAACAGGATGGTTTCAGTCAAATTTGCAAACAAACAAACAAAGCAAATTCAAACAAAAAGATCAGAAAAACAACCTTCACTTGGAAGGCTGGATTTACCCGAAAGAGAGTTCTATATGACAAAAGAGAGGGAAGTTGAACGCAATGCCATTAGAGCACGTGTGCAATTTACTTATCGAATACTGGATTTACTGCGAACACATCATGTCCATACGTTTAGAAACGAAAAAGCAGCACGCAAAAGTCGAAGAACGGCTTCAATGATCTATCTTCCAACAAATTGAAAAATGCAATTAGCAAATTTGTTCATAAATTTCATGCTCTCTTCTCACTCTCTTCGTCCTCTCCTTTTGCCCTTTACCCCTTCTCCCACGTATTTCTCGAACATCCTATCCCTTTTCTTTTCCATTTGCTTCCCACTCACCCTTCAACTCTTACCCCTCTCCCTCATCCCACGTTTCGAGAAAAGAGCATAAACCAGCGTGAAAGGAGGGAAAAAGGATAGAAAACCATTCCCTGCGGCCCCCTTCCCTGGGCCCCCTCTGCCCCCCCCCCC